GGTCTTACCGGGGATACGGCAACTCTGCCGAGCTCGCTTACAGCCACCTGAAGAACCTGTATCAAGCAACAGACAGCGTCAACCAGAGTCGGTTAATGGCGCAATTGACAACGGTCGAAATGAAACCAGGCGAAAAAGGAATGGCGTATATCAGCCGCTGTCGCGAACTGCGCGACAAACTCCTTCGATGCGGAGGATCAATAGCCGAAGAAGCCTTCGTAACAGTCGTCATCGGTGGCCTCGGTCCTCAATGGCGTTCCACCCGAGCCATCCTCCGAGCTCACGGAAAAATCTCCGAAGCAGCACTCTGTGCCGAAATCCACGCCGAGCAGCAAGACATGGACCTGCAAGAAGAACGACACAAGAGAAAAACGTCAGTACCGGAATTCGCGTTCCACACTCAGCGACGCTACAACAACAACAACAACCGACAACAACAGAAACACGTACCTCCGTTCTGCCATATCTGCAAGACGTCAGGGCACCCGCGCACGCACTGCCCGAATCGACAACAGTCAACGCCACAACAGCGACAGCTTCGACCTTCAAGCAGCCAAGTTGCCTCGACGCAAGTAAATTCCACGACCAAGGTTCAAGCTTCAACAACACCAACGGGACAACCTGCACAAGGAGCAAGAAACATCGTCAGTTGCATGGCAAGATTGACCGACTCCTGCATCACTGAATCACCGCCACATTACTCACCGGAAGAACAGCTCGACAACAGCACGCCCCGCCGCGAGTCACTTCAACCGAACCCAACGTACGCAGCCATCGCCCAAAGCGAGCCATCCGGGAAAGATACCTGGTTCTTGGACAGTTGCTGCGGACAGCACATGTGCTCTTCAGGACGCTTCGTACAGCGAGAGTATCAACTCCAACGAGAAGTAGTCATCACCGTCGCCAACAATCAAAATCTGCGCACACGACGACAAGGCGTAGTACACCTTCAGTCACGGGAGACAAACGTCATTATACAAATGTCCAAGGTTTTAATTGCAGAAGGCCTCGGCTACAACTTACTGAGCGTCAGTCAGTTGATGGCGAAGGGTATTCACCTTGAAGCAAACAGCACCACCCAGGAGTTCAAGCTGTACCACGGGAAGGGCGGCCTCTACATCGGAAAGGCGATCCTCAAGAACAACGTCTTCGTTCTTGATTTTGTTCCAGATCTCGGCACAGCAGACAGCGACGGCATCGTCACCTTCACCTCCTGGACCCACCCTCCAGATCTTGATCCAGACTTCAGCCCTGGTGGGTTCTGGCACTCTCACACGATACCTGAGACAGAACGAACAAGAGCGTTAGCAACAATTCAAGCAACATCGGCAGCAGCAGAAGCAACATCGGCAGCAGCAGCAACAACGTCAGCAGCAGCAGAAGCAACAACGGCAGCAGCAGAGACAACAACAGCAGCGGTAACATCGACACCAATCGCTGGTCCTTCAACGACACCAATCTCCATCAACGATTCGCCACCGACACCCGTACAACAGTTAAACCCAGCACCACGTGAAGTCCACCGAAGCACCAACGTCACCGCCGGCTTCTACTCCAACTCCGATCTGTATCGACGGTCACCCGGACATCGCGCCACTGAAGGAACCTGGCACGCAAGAATGGGACATCCAAGCAACACAGTGTTAAACAACACGATAAGAGCAGGAGTGCTCGACAAAGATTCACTCCTACTGACCGACGGCAGAGAACTTCAACGAGCCCGTGGAACGTGCTTCACCTGCCCTGAAGCTGACTTACCGCATCAGCCGTTCGTCTCGCATCACAATCCAAGCGCACCTGCGTACACACCTCTGGAAAAGGTGTACAGCGACATATTATACAACCGTGAACCCGGACAAAACGCCTACAGTTACACCATCACGTTCATCGACGCCGCGACACGTTACGTGTGGCATCTCAACCTTCCGAGCAGGGACATGGCCTTCGAAGCCTTCGTCGCATGGCTTCCCGTAGCAGAAAGAGAATCGGGCGTCAAGCTAAAGAGTTTTCAGTCAGACGGGGGAGGAGAATACACCTCACAGAGGTTCAAGCAGTACTTGGCAGAAAGAGGGATCAAACGGCTCATCTCTCTTCCCTACGCTCACCAACAGCAAGGCGTAGCAGAACGGATGAACAGGACGCTCCAAGCCACCATGCGCAAGCTGCTACGTGGCATGCACCTGCCCAACCACCAGTGGCCCGAAGCAATGGACCACGCCGTGATGCTGCACAACTTGCTTTCGTCATCATCGCTCCCGAACAACGCATCACCGCATCTGCTGTGGACAGGGAAATTGGGCAGCACAAAAATGTTGAGAGTTTTCGGCTGCATGGTACAGTACCGACCTCCATCTGCACGAGCTGGGCGATTCTCTCAACGCGCACAGTGGGGACTACACCTGGGCATCGCAAAACATTACAACGCGTGGAAAATCTTCGACATCGATAGCAAGGAAACAGTAGCAGCACGTGATGTCATCTTCTACGAGAACCTCACCCTCGGAACTCACCTCATGTACATCGAAGAAAACAGACCTGACCTCTCGGGCGGATTTCATGGAAACCGAGCCTTCGCCTCGGCAGAAGACGAAGCTGACTGGGACGAGCAGAACGTGGAGGGAGCCTCGGAGGAAGCCGGACCTCTCCCTTACTGCTCCGTGGATGTCCCAATGGATGACGAAAATCCTCGCGAAAGCGTCAACGCCGACGTCTTCTACGACCTCGCCGACGAGGGTTACGTTACACCTGCACAGGTCAACACCAACGAAGCAGAACGCATAGGACCAAATTTCAATCCTACACCAGAAGCGGGAGACGAAGCAGTCTATCCCGAGGACACCACACTCCCCCGCTACACACAGAGCGGACTCCAAATTCTCGGCCTCGTCACCGCAGTCCACGGCACGGCTCTTCCTAAGGAGCCTGCGACAGTTCAGCAGGCTCTGGGGGGGGAACACAGGGAGAAATGGCGTGAAGCCATGGACAGAGAGTTAAAGGCACTGGAGGAATGGAACACCTGGAAAATCGTTCCCATCAGCATGGCAAGAAACAAGACCATTCTCACCGGAAAATGGGTCTTCCGCGTCAAAACGAAAGCAGACGGCACAATTGAGAAGTTCAAAGCACGCTGGGTTGTGCGTGGATTCGATCAGGAGCACGGACGGGACTTCACCGAGACATTCGCCCCGGTCAGCCGACATACCTCACTCCGAATTCTACTCGCGATCGCCGCCATGAAGAAAAGGAAGCTGCGGCAAATCGATGTCGCAAATGCCTTCCTCTACGCACCCGTCGATGCCGAAATCTTCGTTGAACTACCGCACGGCTCCAACGGAGAACCTAACCACGTCTGTCAGCTACTCAAATCGCTCTACGGCATCAAGCAAGCCCCACGGTTGTGGCAACAATACCTACACGCTCGCCTCATTCGCATCGGCTTCAACCAGCTACCGCACGATCAAGGCATGTACCGACTCACGAAGAACGATGACTACATCCTGCTAATCGTCTACGTGGACGATCTCCTCTACATCGACGGCATCACGACCTGGTTCGAAGGGGAGCTACAGAAAGACCTCACGCTCACAGTCTCATCCACCGTCACGCAGTACCTCGGTCTGAATATCGGGGAAGAAGAAGGCGCGATCTACCTCAATGCCGCGAAGTACGCCGACACCATCGCCAAACGCTTCGCTCTCACACCGACCGCCATCTCCACGCCATACCGCTACACGGCAGGAAAGGAAGGATCTACTCTACTCAAGCCCGCCGGCATACGCGACTACCAGAGGAAGCTGGGATGCCTCCTCTTCGCAGCCGTCACCTGCCGTCCGGATCTATCATACTCCGCAAGCCAGCTCGCAAACTACCTGAAGAAGAGGCCTGAAACAGAACACCTGGCGGAGCTCGACCGCGCTCTTCACTACCTCGTCAGTACCCCAACGATCGGCCTAACTTACTACAAGAACGCAACTGCACCGACTAAGTTAATCGGCTACGTCGACGCCGATCACGCCGGTGACCCCGATAATAGACGATCGCGCACCGGCTACATCTACCGCCTCGAACCTATCGGTCCTATCTCCTGGCAGTCGAGCAAGCAGGAACTAATCGCCCTCTCTTCAGCCGAAGCAGAATATATCGCACTCTGCTCAGCCACCAAGGAAGGACTTTATCTTTGCGAACTGTTGGAAGAAGCGAAATTAGCCGAGTTACCCAACTTCACCCTGTTCTGCGACAATCAGTCGGCAATTCGCATCGCCAACAAAAACGGCTTCGCGAACAGGACGAAACACATCGCCCTACGCTATTTCTTCGTAAAGGACGAGATCGAGAAGGGGAGACTCGAGTTGTCATATTGTCCCACGTCAGAGATGGCAGCTGACTACTTGACCAAGAAGCTCGGAAAACAGAAATTCGAGTACTGCATGCTGCTGACTGGACAGAGCCACGTCATCAGCAACGACACTCCAGAAGCGAAGGGGAGTGTTGGAAACAACAAGTCGTAAGCGCCTCTGTCGTGTCGAAACACCGCACCAGAAGCGAAGTAAATCATAACGAGACACCCGCGAGTCAACCCTCGGAGGTTGAAAGTAACTGTTGGAGGTTACGCGAAAGTCAAAGGTCAGCGACCTTTGACCTGACAAATGCAGCGCGACAGCAAGGACACACAACTGACTCGATATTGAGCAGTTGCCCGAGTCGCACTGTATCGAACCGCAACAGCAAACAGTAAAATAGTTATCAGTCGTATCTCTTCGTATTCCTTGTACTCTTATATAAATCTTTGTACTTGCTTGCTTTAATCAACTTACTTTGCCCTCACATACCAGCGCAAGGTGGTTCACAACTTCTTTATTAAACGCATCAACTTACTTTGCCCTCACATACCAGCGCAAGGTGGTTCACAACTTCTTTATTAAACGCTTCCGCTATTACATCATCTCTACCCAGAGTTTACCCTTGCAAAGATCCTAAGGGCTGTCTCAGCCCAATAGATATTACGCACAATATGAGGATATGGAAACTACCGGTACATTTGCTGTCTTTTGTTCAAGATCAACACAGCTTGATGCCTGTAAAAATTAAGACGCGCCACTTTGCATTACAAATAAAAATTATATTAAGAGCGAACTTGTGGAAAACAAACGCATTAAAGGCTGTTGAGGCAACGCGATTATGATATGAAAACAAATGCTTACCTCCATATGCAGAGAGTTTGTTTTATCATATTGCTGTTTGCCTTCCCTTGCAATGTATTCAAACACAGCATCCACATTTATGCCTATTTTGGCTGACTGCATATCGTAACACAGCATCAGAGGGAGGATGGGAGGAGGGTATTAAGCGGGGGGAGTTGACCCATGACATCAAAGCAATGAGGCTTTCCAACCATCAGATCAAACAATGGAAATGCATACCTTGTACGGTACATGGCAAAATCACAAGAAATTCATCCTGATTCTTACAGGGGAAATCAATCAGCATGCGGGCAGTAGACAAGCAGTAAATCAACAGACAAAAAGGTGCCATATTCATACCCATATTAACATCTAACCAACAGGTTAATGGAAAACGCGGATACGTACAGTCTCAAAGAAGTGTGCATCCAATTCATTGGCTAGTTGCTGCCCTTCTTCCTTGCTGATAGACTTATGCACACAGGAGAGGTGGTTGTAGAGGGAGAGAGAGAGAGAGAGAGAGAGAGAGAGAGAGAGAGAGAGAGAGAGAGAGAGAGAGAGAGAGAAGGATATGCAGATTTCATAAATGATAAAGTGTGACGTTTGAATTCTTTATTGAATACAATTGCACAATAGCTGTCACAACATGTGGTATTTCGGGCTGTGTCAAAGAGCATACCCGTTGGTCGTCCATATCGGCCTTGGTGCCCACGAGAAGCACACGCACCCCTTGAGGTGAATGCTCCTCAACGCTCCTCATCCACCCTCTCACATCTGCACAACCATGTGCATAAAACAATACTTAAAACCAAAGGTGCTAAGAACCAAAGGGAGGCACTTCAACAAGTGAACAGGCGAACATAGTGGTTACTTACTATTGAAAGATGACCGGCTGGTGATGTCATATAATAGCATGATGCCATGTGCGTTCCGGTAGTAAGCTGCCAAAAGCACGTGTGGAAGCATATTGGGTGTGGTTTAAGTTGAATTATATTGCACCAAGTGCACATAGGTGATATTAATAGAAACGCATTGCAATCTTGGCAATGACAATGCGTGTGGCAAGGAATGGTGGCTCTGATATGCACCAGACCGGAGCAGATTGGGAAATGTTAAAATAAGTTGAGATGTGCTTGCTGTTTGAACTGGAAACAAGTGAGAGCAGGTTAAGTGAGTATGTGTACCTTCAGGGATGGTTCGGTGCAGCTCAAGGCCTAATGTATCCCAAATGCCTACTCTCACTTGATTGCCATCAATGTCCATCATGCGAATAATAAAGTCATTTCTGCAGACACATAAGAGAGGCCATTCATATAAGCAGACTCTACACACTTGACTCATTTTGTCTGATGGATATGCATCCATATGTGTGCGTTAGTGTGTGTGATTGCTGTGATGTGCATACACTGTATGAACTACAAAGGGCCGTTCAAAAGCAAGAGAGGGCGAGAGATAGCTAGAGAGGGGGGTCGGGGGAAGAGGGAGAGAGGGGTAGAAGTGGAGAGAGGAAGTGTTGTGATTTTTACATACGCAGGGTGAGATGATGGAATCCAAAATTGGCGCTGACAAAGCCGAAGAATGAGACTGCTCTTACCCACCGCTGTCATGGACATCCAGAGAAATGCAAATGCAGAATGCACGGTAAGGGCCTCAAGCTTAAAGCCTCAATCAACCTCGCTCCTTCCCTCGGAAGAAGGAGACTGCTCTTACCCACCGCTGCAATGGACATCCAGAGAAATGAAAATGCAGAATGCTGAATAAGTGACTCAAGCTCCCCCCCCCTCTCTCCCCCCTCCCTTCCCCCCACCCTTCCCCCCTCTCTCACCCCCTCCTTCCCTACCCCCCTCTCCCGCTCCCTCTCTACCCCCCTCCCCCGCTCTCCCCCTCCCCCCCTCCCCAATCCCCCCTCCATCCCTCCCCCCCTCCCCCTCCCCCCCCCCTCCCCCTCCCTCCCTCCCTCCCTCCCTCCCTAGTGAATGGCAACGTGGAGATAGAACCCACGTAACTGGACACGAGTGGGACAATAGATGAGAATAAATGGCGTCGACCAATTATGGCTGTTCAGGAAGAAACCACCATCTGTTGATTATAATCACACATGGCGCTGCTTTACCATAATCGCCGAGAAGGAGAAGCTTCAGCGGCCTAGCGGGTCTGCACTTCTGACCTCTCGAAACACCGTAACCAAACATTGGCACATCCGGGACCTTACTAGCACCTAGAAACCTAGTTGATTCTTGACGTCGTCCAATGTACCAGATTGAGTGGATATACGTATTGAAAAAAATACGATAGATTTTACGAGGACATAAAGCGTATTCTCGGAACCACTAGACACTACGGATAGAATGTTGGATTGGACCGTCGGAAAAAAAACGGAAGAAATGCCTAACAAAGTCATATTGCCCGTCGAGACCTGTTCTTACCATGAAGACCTAACTCCTCTCTGGCTTGTTTGTTGAGCCAACTCACGCCATGCCGTGTCCACTGGTCTGTTACCCGTTCACAACGAATTTCTTGGTGGTCAGGCCTGTTTCTCATTTCTTCCTTGTTGGTTTGTTGAGTCAATTCCCGCCACTGCTGTGTTGACCAGGTCACGTTACCCTTCGCAATCTTTCGTGCTGTTCATCGACGTCAATCGCAGCATGTATGAAGAGGCGCTCGATTTTCGTGGATGTCCGTTGGCGAGACTTGACGAATCACGAACTCGGCGACTCCCAGCTCGACAACAGTTTGCAGGAATCGGTAGCGTTTAAAACCCTAAAATGGAATGGCTGGATTTTCAAGCTCAAAATTCTTGGATTTGAGATCGCAAAAAACGGGTTACCCGCTGATAGTTGATGTCTTTCTCCCTTGCGGCAGCTGGAGGTGGTGCTGTCATTGGGCAGGGACCACCAGCAAGGCGAATTGAAGGGGACGATCGCCTCAAACTAGAAATCCATCCTCAAGTCTTCATACCAGTAGTCTCGAAGGCAGTAACTAGTATAGCGTCGTCATACCCCAGCACACCGTTATTTTCACACCCAGGTCACTTGAATAACTCGCTCTCGTCGCGCACAGGCGCGATCTCTCGTCACTCGCAATAGTCTCTCCAGCGGCGAATCTCTCTTTGCTCGCTATGTCCCGTTGTGCACTTCCCCCCCCCCCCCCCCCCCCCCCCCTCCCCCCCCCGTCACACAGTATGGTCACTCAATCTCACGTCGCACTCTCTCCCATCACTCGCGCGACGCCCTCGTGTGCTCTGTCCGTCGTCATCGCTCCCTCTCCCCGTCTCCCTCGCTCCCCCTCCCCGTCGACATCGCTCCCTCTCCCCGTCTCCCTCGCTCCACTGCCTGTCGCCCTCGCTTCTCCTGCTCGTCGCCCTCGCTTCCCCTCATCGCCCTAGCTTCCCCTCATCGCCCTCGCTTCTCCTGCTCATCGCCGTCGCTTCCCCTCGTCGCCCTCGCTTCTCCTCATCGCCCTCTTTTCCCCTCATCGCCGTCGCTTCCCCGACTCATCACCCTCCCTTCCCCTGGCCATCGCCCTCGCTTTCCCTGCTCATCGCCCTAGCTTCCCCTCGTCGCTCTCGCTTCCCCTCATCGCCCTAGCTTCCTCTGCCCGTCGCCATTGCTTCCCCTCATCGCCCTCGCTTCTCCTCCCCGTCGCCCTCGTTTCCCTAGCTCGTCGCCCTCGCTTGCCCTCCCATCGCTCTTCCCTTCTCCCTCGATTCCCCTGCCTGTCGCCCTCGCTTTCCCCTCGTCGCTCTTCTCATCGCCTTGCTCGGCGCTCTCACTTCTCTTGCCCGGCGACCTCGCTTCTCTTGCCCATCGCCATCACTTTCCCCTTCATCCCCCGCCCCGTCGCACAGTTTCTCCCATTATTCATTCTCGCGACATTCTCGCACACCCGTCAAGCGCCCTCGTCCCACCCTCCCGTCATTCTCACCCGTGCTCACTCCTCCCAGTTACCGCCTTTCTACACCCCACTTCTCACTCTCTTCAGTCGCTCACACTTCAGTCTCTCACATTCAGTCACCCACACTCTCTGTCTCACACTATTCAGTCTCTCACACTCTTCAGTCTCTCACACTCTTCAGTCTCTCACACTCTTCAGTCTCTCACCCTCGTGACACTCTCGACCACCCGCCACCCTCTCTTCCCTCCCCCTACTTAATCCCTCCCCCCCAACCACCTACAGCCCACCCTCTCTCACCTATCCCCCTCCTTCCCCCCACTTACCGCCCTCTTTCCCCCCACTTACCGCCCATTTCCCCCACATACTGCCTGCCTTTCCCCCTCCTCTTTCGCAGCAACCACCCTCCCACTCACCCCGTTCCTGCCCCTTCTTCATCCCTTTCCTTCCCTCACTCACAGTCCGCGCTCTCCCCACTTATCCTCTTCCCTCCCCTCACTTACCACCCTCCTTCCTCCCCACAGACTGCCCTTTTTGCCCTACTTACCACCATCCAGCCACCCTCTTACCACCCTCAACCACACCTACATACCACCCTGCTTCCCCCCACTTACCACCCTTTAACCCCCTATAAACCACCCACATGACCCCCCACAAACCACCCCATACCCCCCGCATACCACCGCCTTGCCCCACCCACCTTGTTCGCTACATACCGCCCTCCATCCCTCCAACATGCCGCCCCTCTACCCCCCCACGTACTGCCCATGTTCCCCCGAACAAACCACCATCATTTCCCCCCTTATGACCCTCATTCCCCCCCACTCACCGCCCTCCTTCCATTCACATACCCCCTCTACTTACCTCCCTGCAAACCCTCTATAATCCTCTTTCCCCCCGCATATCAACCTCTTTTCCCCGACACACCAACCCTTTCCCCCCCACAACAGCCCTCCTGCCCTCGACAATAATGTTCTCATTCGTCAAACTTACCTCTCTTGCGACCCCTCGATTTCCACACCGCAGGGGCAGAGGGGCAGAAGTGTGGGAGGATAAGGAGAGGGGCTCCTTGTTATGGTATTAGAACAAAAGATGGTTAGAAAAGCAAACCTACTTCTTTCTCTCGCATGCAAACAATTCTTTTAATCCATGAGACCGGTAATTTTATTCCATCTACTGGTAATAAAACAGACTCACACCAAGTGTTGCATCTTGTCAGGAACTGAATGATGGTTTGACTAAGGTTGGTTGGGGTACATAAACCTAACCCTAACAACTGTACCCCACATGACATGCCTCACTACAGGCTACAACATTTGACACACCCCCATAGCTTAAGTGCGGGGTGTCTAGCAAAACCAACACAGTACGGTCACAAGACCAGTCACAAAGAAACAAAGCTCATGGTGGATCACAACGTCACCACACAGTCTATGTCAGAATCTACCGTAACAGCAGAATGAATGAACTAGGCAGGAATGTGGTACAAATATGGCAAACCCTAATTGGGTTGTACCCCTTATGGGCTACCCCACTACAGCCTACACAACATATTTTGACACACCCCCATAGGCAAAGTGGGGGAGAACAAGCGGTCACAAGACCAGTCAAGAAAAGCAAAGCAAGCTCAGGGTGGATCACGAAGTCACCACACATTCCGAGCACAAGCAAATGGCCACAAGGCCAGTTCACATGCAGAGTTATATAAAACAAAGCAAACAGTACAGTGATCACAACCTACCACGTATAAGCATGCAGGAATATATATAGATCACAGTACAAGCAAAGTCACGCAGTGAGCAAGTGAGAAAACGTAGGCACAAGGCCTAAAGCAGTACAGAAACGCTGATGATCACCAGGCGGAAGTGCCTTGGTGAATATATCAGCTGTGTTGGCCCGGGTGGCCACGTAAGCAACACGAAGCTGACCACGCTGCTGCAACTCTCGAGCAAGGAAGTAACGCAGAGCGATGTGCTTCATTCTGTGCTCCAGTCTGTGCTCCTAACACAAGGCAATAGCGGCCTTGTTGTCTACGTACAGAACTAGAGGAGAACGAGGCCGCTCACCCAAGTCGGTCAGCAGGTAGGTGAGCCAGCATAACTCCTGTGCAGCCATGGCTCCTGCGTAGATCTCAGCCTCACAATTGGAGCTGAGAACAGAAGACGAGCGAGTAGAACGCCAAGAAACAGAGCCGGAGCCAAGGCTGAAGTGGTAACCCCATGGCGACCGCTGCGTAGCCAGGTCGTCCACCCAAGAAGCGTCTGAGTGTCCAGTGAGGACAACGTCACCCCGTCCTCCAAGCACGAGCCTCATGCCCGATGTACTGCACAAGTAGCGCAACACCCTCTTAGCAGGCCCCCAGTGCTCTCGCCGGTGTCTCCCGGGCGCAACGTAGCGAGCCAGGATGCTAAGAGGGTACGCAAGGTCAGGTCGAGTGCAGGTCATCAGGTACATGAGGCAACCCACAAGCTCTGGATACGGGCCACTATGCTCTACGGACTCGTTCGAAGGTGGAGCTGAGAGCGAGTGACCGGTAGGCAGAGGAGTGGACTATGGCGAGGAGAACAAGAAGCCGAAGCGCTGAAGGATCTGCTGCACCATGTGTGACTGAGTCAGGGTGATGGTGCGCCGTGCTCTGTCCCGGGTGATCTGCAAGCCAAGGTAGCTGCGCAGCTCACCCAGGTCTGTGCACATGTGTCTCTTCTGCAGCTCCGACTTCACAAGGGCGAGTGCCTCAGTGTCAGCAGTGGCAAAGACCAAGTCGTCGACATACACGAGGATGTAGAACGGCGGCAGTGAAGTGTCTGTGCGCAGAAACAGTGACGGGTCAGCAGTCGAAGGAGCAAACCCAAGAGCCGAAAGTGCCGTCCTCAGTGTGTCGTGCCACTCACGAGGCACCTGGCGGAGACCGTAGACTGGCCGCCGGAGGCTCCACTGGGTACCTGCAGGAAACGACCAAGTGAAGCCAGGTGGGCGGCGCAGCCAGATCTCCTCGTGCAGGCTGCCCTGCAAGAACGCTGTGCTGAAGTCAAGAGAGTGAAGCTTGTAGTCACGCTGAGTGGCAACGTGCAGCAGCACCCGAAGAGTGGTCATCTTCGGGTTGGGGGAGAAGGTCTGGAAGAAGTCAACTCCCTGTCGCTGACTGAAGCCTCGAGCAACGTAACGAGCCTTGAAGACAGGCGGAGAACCCGGCGGCCGCTTCACCCTGAAAATCCACATGCCATCGACTATGTTCGCCCCAGGAGGGGGAACTGCGTCGACGTAAGTGCCTGTGGACTTTCAGGATGCCATCTCTGCGTCC